GAAAGCAAATGTTTTGAGAATAATGATGGCAACAAATGTACAAATGTGCTTGACACAATGGGTGGATGTGTGGATTTTTCTAAGAATTGTACGAGCCCCCAATAAAAAGATTTTTTTTTTAATTTTTTTTCAGTTCTAGCATCTGGACAGGAATAAGGAGTTTGGAAGAAGCCACGCTGGATACACTCTCTAACTGTTAATCCGAAGCAGAAACCGAGTGAAATGTCCCCGAAAGAAATAGAGACGCGTGGGGAGGCAAGGTCGCGTGCCCTGCGAACCATGCGCGCTCCCGGGCTTCCCGCCACGGCCAGGGCACGCCCCTCGGACCCAGCGCCCCGCACGTCCAAGTCGGAGCAGGCGCCTGAGCCCGAACCCGAACCCGAACCCGAACCTGAACCGGAGCCCGAGCCCAAATCCAAGTCCGAAACAGAGCGGCGCGCGCATGCCCTGAGCGTGCGCGGCGTGCGCGTGCCCGGCGCCTTCCTCAGCCTGCGTGCGGCCCACCGCGGTGGGGATACTCACGGCTGGTCGGGGCTCGCAGCTCGCCGCCGTCCTGGCGCGCAGACCCGGATGGCCACCGGGCAAAGGCTCTTTCGCCGAGCAGGGACCCCCAGCGCGGGCCGGAAGCGGGCCCGGCGACGCCGCCCGGGGGAACAGGCCCGAGGCTGCGCGGCGCCCGATCGCCCACATCGCGCGCGCGGTCTGCGGCCTGCTCCGCGCTCCCGCGCGAGGACGCGCGGCGCCCCCTGGTGGCCACAGGCGCACCAGCTCGACGCCCGCGCTCAGGCTGCGGGGTTGGCGCCCAGGAAGAACTGAGCAGCCGTGCACGATCCGTGGGCCATAGGGTGACTGCAAAACCAAGATCCCTGCCTTCAGGGATGCTTCAATGACCGCCCTATCCCCCTGCAGAAATTGTATGCTGGAGGAGTTACCCACCGCCCTCAATTCCTGGTAACCCTAGCTACATCTTCAAGGAAGCAGTCTCATCTTTCTCCCCGGAAGAGCAGCCGGTGGGTTTGAATCTCCCACCTTACAGTTATCGGCCCAATGCCTAACCCGCAGCGCCACTAATGCACCTTACAAGAAGGATCCAATAAACTGAAACTCACGATTCCGATTCATGGCAACCCCATAGGGCAGGACAGTACTGCCCTTGTGGGTTTCTGAGACTTAATTCTTTACGGGAATAGACAGCCTCATCTTTCTCCCATGAAGCGGCTAGTGGTTTTGAACTGCTGACCTACAGCTACCAGGACTCCTCAAAGGAGGAACTGGGGATCCACAGTCTGGCTGAATTGCAGTAGAGTATAGGCCTTGAACTTATTCCACAGGTTACAGCTGTTAAAAGAGTGGGTGGCCAAGAAATAGACACTTGAAAAAATATGGACTCCCTTTGAGTTCAAGCTATGTGACCAGTAGCCAAGTTAAACCTGTAAAGCAGAATTAAAATGTTCTGTGCCCCTAGCGTTATTGTGAGATTGAAGTCACTTATTTTAGGTGGCACTTAGGTGCAATATTGAGTGTCGGTTTAGACACACAGAGCAAGAAAACTAAACACCATATTCACAAACACAGGCTATATTTGAGCCTATTGTTGTAGCCACTAAGTTGATCCATCTCGTTGAGTGTCTTCTTCTTCATTGACCTGTACTTTACCAAGTATAATATCCTCCAGAAATAGACCCTCCTGATAACATGCCCGAGATATATGAGACAAGTCTCCATAACCGTCCGTCCAAGGATCATCTGGTTGTACTTTTCAAGCCAGATGCATTTGCTCTCTGAAAATCCATGCTATATTCTATATTCTTCCCCAACACCACAATTCAAGTGCATCAGTTCTTCTCTGGCCTTCCTTATTCAGTGTCAGCTTTCACATGCATAGGAGCAGGTTGGAAACACCATGGCTTGGGTCAGGTGCACTGTGTTAGTCTGGGTACTTTAGAGAAGCAAATCCACAGAAACTCATGTACAAGAGAGAGTTTTATATAAAGCTTAAGTGCACATCAAGAAAACATCCCAATCCAGTGCTGCCCAAACCCACAAGTCTAACATTAACCCATATGTCCAACAACAATCCACAAAGTCCTCCTCCATCTCCCAAAACACACTCAATGATGGCGACTGCAGGAGGAAAGCTGAGTCAGTGAACGTGTAAGCATCTCAGCGCTGGCAGGGGTCTCCACACGGCTGCTCCAGCACCCAGGGCTGCATCGGGGTAGGTCCATGTGGCTTCTCCTCAGGGATGTTTTGCAGGAAGTGAGCCTTGCCAGCTGAAGCCAGGAATTGGCTAAGGCAGCTGCACCCTGGTCTGACCATCACAAAGCAAGAGACCCAAGAACTAGAAAGGTGAGGCTCATGGAGTCATTTATCCCTCCGCCCTTCAATTGACCCCACATGTGTTTATTGGGCAGGTTGGCACAATAAACTTTAACTAACTCATGCACCTTAGTTCTCAAAGTGTTATAATTGCTCTTTAACTCTTTAAAGAGGTCTTTCCCACTTGGTTTGCCCAACAATATTGCCCAATGCAATATTCCATTGGATTTTTATTTTAAAGCAGTTGGGGGGGGATATAATCCACGTCTATTATTCAATAATGGTTCAATCATATCAAGAATGTCATTTGATTTCTTGACTGCTGCTTCGCAATCTTTTCATCATTTTTCATGATGTTGCTTCTTGGTCCTGTTGTGGAGATATTTGTTTTCTTCATGTTGAAGAAAACATTCTAAGGGCGATAGTCGCTGATCTTCATCAAAAAGTGTTTCAAGTCCTTTTCCCTTTCAGAAATCAAAATTGGGTCATCTGCATATCCAAAGGTTATTAATGAGCCTTCCTCCCATCCCAAGGCCAAGGTCTTCATAGAATTCAGCTTCTTGGATTATTTTCTCAGCATACAAGCTGGTGGGCTTGGTTGACACTTTCTCGTGCCTGCAATGACCTTCTGTCAACCAGGTATCTATACTATCTCAAATTAACAACCTGAGTGAGGTTGGGTAATTCCAATCAATACTGGCCTAAGGGCAGATACACACTTTAGTTTTGCAATATCGAGTAGAGGGAGTGTTAGGGTAAGGGAGTTGCAAATACTTCATACAAGATCTGTTTCAATCACCCAATTCTCATCCAAACGGTCACCTTGGTTCCAACAACGATTGTATCCTCATATCCACCTTGTAACTTCAGGCCCCTTCAAGATTTTATCAACAAGTTTAGAGGTGACAGTACATTGGGCTTCTGTGTTCTTGAGCCCCAAGGAGGTCTCTTCCACACCCTCAGGCCATTTTAGCCATGCTCATGCTTGTGGTCTTGGGACCCTTGGCCTTCTTGTCAACTCATGATTGACAAGCTGAGCCTCTGCTTACAAGAATCCCTGTGGAAAACAGAAAGATTTCTCCCAAGTTGTCTCCCCCCCATATATGCCAAACCTAGCTGCTTGCTACATATGGTAAATGACTATACACTTGGAGGTCAACAGAAGTAGGTCAGGGGTTATTCTCCCTAAGGGTCATCAGCCATCTAGAGCAATCAGACTGTATAGTCTGACCCACGCTAAGTAGGGCCCATCCCCTTCTGATAAGGATAGTAGTAGATTGTTTCCCTGAAGGAGAGCCCAGGGAGGTCAAGCCCACTCAAGGGTGACCAAGGTTAGGCCGCCATCATGAATCCAGGGTCTGCCCTTCTTGTCACACATATACCTCTAGTTCCACCCCTTCCTATCATGTGCACACCCCTAGCTCATCCCCTTCCTGTCACAATTATGCCTATTGTACATCCCCTTCCTACGATGTGTACGCCTATTGTACAGCCCCTTCCCGTGACGTGTGTGGCTACCTGTAATCACACCCTTTGAGTAGATATAAGCCTTGGTTAGCAATCCATTGGCCCACCTCGGCTCTCTCTCCTTCCCTCAGCCCATGCTGTGCACAGACCTGGCTGGTAAGATCCTGGCCATCCAGGAGGTGAGCATGCTACCATAAAATGTGTATGACTTCTTTATTTGACTCTTTTCTATTTCTCCTTATTATCTATGACTTTATTCTATCTTTATATATCTCAACCATACAATTGTGCTTACTGAACCCGTGATTAGTTGTGGGGGGCTGGCCTTCCCCCACAAATCCCACCTAGGATATCTTATTTTACATTCCACTTGACTGGGATAAATAAAGACTGTAACTCTAAGGGAGTAAAAAGCCCTTTCCCTCAAGGAGAAGCCAATGGTTTTGAACTGCTGACCTTTTGGTAGCAGTCCAATGGATTAGTTGCTCAACCTCCTATAGGGCTGCATGAGAACCTTTGTCTCAACTCCATCAATGGCGTCTGTATTCATCTCATTTCTTAGTAATCATTTTAAAATCTCTGGCCTGATGGGTAAATTTTTTTTTCTTCTCCCTGAAAGGTTGGAGACAGAGGCACAACACAGAGAGAGAATTTAGCCAGGGATGTGAAGTTGAGAAAGATTTTATTGTGGCAGGGAAAGAACTCCCGGGAGGGGAGGGAGGGCAAGGAAAGGGACAGGGGCATCTTGAGTCCCCGGGCGGGTTCCGTGACCCAAGGAGCTAGGTCAGGGAAGTCGCACCTGGCAGTGAGGCAGTGGGGTTGATATAGGGTATGAGCTTAAAGGCATATGAGCCAGTAAGGGCAAGGGAGGTTCTTTGTGCTGTGGTTGCAAGTTTCAGGCCAGGTGAAGTTTTGTTAGTAAATCATGTTGTTCCTAGGAAACAATGCTAGGGAGAGGGGGCTGTGTTCTGTCTGGGGAGGTAAGCTCTGTGAAACGCTGAAGGCAAATGCTTTGAAGTTCAAGTGCTTTGGAATTCCGCCAGGTCATTTGTGTTCTCGAGAAGCTGGTACAAGGCGCTGCCTTAGTCCTGGCCCGGCCCAAACACTCCCCATTCTTCAATGAACCACCCTCATTCTTTTTGCATGTGGGAAAGCTTTACCAGCAGATCAGACATGCCTTCTCAGTTTGTTTCTTTACTTCACAGTAACAAGCTCACATGTAGAAGGGGGTCCTCGATGACCAGCTCTACCATGACCTTTGTAAGGGGCTCGCTCAGTGAATGAACACCCTCCTCATTCAAAGCCATTCAAGCTTGGCCTGCATAGCAGCACATCACTGGCCTTCCCTGGAGGGTGCCACCAGGTAGTTACCCTGTCAAGGGTAGCACATCTCCTGGGAAACAAGACCCTCCAGGTTAACCTCCTGTGTAACTGGATCTGGCATCGGCCATGGTGAAGGTTCTGTAGTGAGTGGCAGGCCTTGCATGAACTCAAACAGACTCTTCCATTTTGCAACATTCATTTAAAAAAAAAGAGCTGGGGGAGGGGGCGGAGAAGATTCAAACTCACTGCCAAGTCAGTTCTGACTCACGGCTACCGTCCGGACAGAAGATAACTAACTGTCCTTGTTGGGGTCTGAGTCTGTAAGGACATCGCTACAGGAGCAGAAGGCTTCCATTCGCTCCTGCGGAGGCTCTGGCTGGTGGGTTCAAACTGCTGAC